CAAGGTCATAGAGAATTGTGCTGGGTTTTTTCTCCCGTAGTAAAATACCATTAACGGTGGTGTTGATTTCTGGATGAAAACAGCATGAATGCAACATAATATACGAAATGCACAGAGCTAGTGCTATTTCTGGATGAAAACAGCATGAACGCAACATAATATACGAAATGCACAGAGCTAGTGCTGATGCCTTACCCGCGATATATTTTACGGAAATCCCAACGCAAAAATATATAACAACAAGGTAAACTAAGGTAATTACTTAATAGATAATTACTGAGGCCAACGGCATTATTCGATATATTGCAGTAATGTTAATAATGCTGTGTGCACGCTGCATTATTTTTAATATTGCTGTGTGCACGCTGCATTATTTTTAATAATGCTGTGTGCACGCTGCATTATTTTTAATAATGCTGTGTGCTATTTTAGCCCGTATAAACATTTACCCCTAGGAATTTCCCTACAATCAAAAACGACCGCTCCCGTTTTTCTGAAGAACGCTAAAACTTCTCGACATTCGCTGATATAATGCAGAGAGAAAACAATAGGTTATTATGACCGTCAGTAATTATAAACATATAATTAAGGACACCCCCTTTGTTTATTTATTGGAGGTCAAACAAAGTTTATTCGGGCACTAATTATACACATGATGCTTACACAGCGTAGAGACTAACAGAGGTCGAGCTTAAACGGGAGGAAAAAACACAAATCGCAGGCTCAGCACAAGCTTAGCCAGTGCCCTAAACAGAGGCATTCAGCCTCCGGAAATATTAAAGATAGCAAAGTATCGAAGGCGGGTGAATGCCTCTGTTGAGGGCACTGGCTAAGTTCTCGACGTCATGTGCAGTGTGTAAAAGTGTGTTACTGCGCAGAAACCCGCTGACATTCCAAGCTACGCTTTTAATGACTGAAGCTGGACCTCTTTATGTCTCTACTCTTTGACGCTTAGCTTTATTTTAAAATAATTTTGAGTTGCGGTACTACCGCAAGTATCAATCTCACCTGAACCAGTTTGAACTAACACATCCCATTGGTCTTTAATCTCTTTAGACATTTTTAATGTCACTCCTCTATCGCATTTCCCGGGCTTAGACGATTTGTGTAAGGGATGTTGACAGCGATGCACTGGCCGCCAGTAGATTCCTAGCACCTCTCTGTGTTTTGGACAAACGGTCATACAATTCGACTCATTTTCAAATACGCCAACCCTTGACGCTATTAGATCTTTTTCTGATATTTGTATTCTTGACACTTTCATAAAACTATTACGATTATGGATTTCACAAATGCTTGTATAGTGTTTACCTTGACACTTACTACACCGTCCCGGGGATTTACACTCTCTTACAATGTGGTTTTTTTGCAAACAATTAAAGCATAGGCCACTATTTTGTAGAATTTGTTTTCGCGCGTTAATATATGTCGGTGACAACTTGACAATTTGCATGGGCATGGCTCTGTCTACAATACGCGCATGGAATTGATTGTTTATATGCACGGTCATTAGACTAGACCCTGAAGATGCACCCTTTCGTTTCATATAGTCAAAGTTACTTCGATTATGACCTTTATTCGCTAAACTGCTACTTGCATTAACTGAAACTGCCGTGCATCGTTCTCTTGCTTTAACTCTTCTTTAAATGTTTCTAAAAGCAGATTGAAATCCCAAGTATTTTTGTCAAATTTTCGACTTATTATGATTTGTAGCTCGCTGGGAATTTTTGCTAAGATACTGGAACTAGAAGTGATCCAAATTGCTCTGGTTTTATGCCTAGCACATTTACAGTGAAAATACAAAAAGTGTCCCACTTCCGCTTCTGTAGTTTGTTGTGATTTACTGTAATTTGTTCTGTTTTTCTGTAGCGATTACCGATTTATCGGCAAATACCGCGATAAAACTTAGTTTTTTCTATTTTTAAATATGATAATTTGTAACATAGGGAAATAATACATTTTTCGTTAGTTTCATTGCATAAAAGGAACGAAATTTAAATTTTATCGCAGTATTTGCCGATAAATCGGTAATCGCTACAGAAAACAGAACAAATTACAGTAAATCACAACAAACTACAGAAGCGGAAGTGGGACACTTTTTGTATTTTCACCGTAATACATTGAGTAGGCTATATTTAAAAGTACAAGGTGTCGAAATAAACTTTATTAATACTGTCACGTACCGATTCGAAGATGCATCTAATGATTCTAAAATTTCCTCACTAGTTTCGGGTTTAGTTTGGGTTTCTTGATCTCGATTACTGATTATTAATACAAAATCATTTGTTGAGAAAACAACGCGTATTTTTACCGGATTTTGAACTCTGGCGACGTCTTCTCGTTGATCACAATCGCCGCCTCTCTGCTTCGCGGTTACAGCTAGTTGTCTGATTCTTTTCAATTAGATTAACTTCTACTACTAATATTAAATCGCTCGCGAACTGAATCAACTTTCTATAATAAGTCTAATAAATTACTATTCTTGTCGGCACAATTACGGCACACATTGTTAGACAAAACAACTGTCTAGATTCAATAAGTTTTTACATGCACTCGCTTTTGTTGATACATTGAACAGCTTTCGGCGCTTACTTGGGTCAGTTATTTCGTTTCCACACTCGGTGCAAACTGTTTCATTCGAGGACAAAGAAATATCAATTCTTGGGAATGTTTTTGTAGACCCATTGTCGGCGCGGTGAAGTAATTGTATGAAATGTACACACCCCTTTTATGTCAAAATTATTCGCGCCAAACTTTTAATGCGATTTAAATTCCTGCAAGGGACACAAGTCGACCACTCGCGACTTCGTCGCTCGGGTCGCGTGTTCCCTCCCCCGCGCCCTCCCTCCCCCATGGTCGACTTGTGGCAAGTCTATGTGCTGATATTCATTTGTGTTATTCAGACTTATTTCCGAGTCAAAACTGAACTGAAGGTCATCGGACATATATGTCCGACCTAAACTCAATGTCATCGGTCATTTTGTCAGACGGCCCTGTAAAAGATATTTTAAGGCCTGATACCATACCATACCATACCATACCATACCATACCATACCATACCATACCATACCATACCATACCAGGTCATACCATAACAAACCAGTTACACCATACAATACCACATCATGTCATACATTACAGTACATTATGATATATAGGATCAAATATGGTACAGTGAAGTACAATACAAAATATTAACCTAGAGCAAAATGCAGATATGTTGGCATTTATCATATGAATATTTTTGTTTCTTTAGTTGAATGAAATCAAGAATTACTCCAGTAAATTCAGAGAGAAAATGGAAGAAATTCGAAAGTCAGTACCAAATCTTATAATTTAATTTTACAACCATGCAATAATTCAAATTTTTCTTTGTATTTTTTCAACCAATCAGATTGACAACTAATGATCAAATATCTGGGCGTATTTCAGGTACGTTGACGAGAATCGAGAAAGTGCATTGGAGAAGATCGAGACAAAACTGCAATCGATTGAACAGCAAATAAATAAATTCAGTGAAGAAAGAGGGAAGCTGACGTCACAAGTCGACACACTGAAGGATGATTTATCACAGAGAAAGGTTATGCACTATTTAAAACACGAGTGTTTTATCAGATATAAAACACGAGTGCGCAGCAAGAGTGTTTTATATCTGATGAAGCACGAACTGCGAGTGTTTTAAATGGCTTAAAAAGCGAGCCATCGTATGAGTTAATTGGCGAAGTAATTTTAAAAATAAACGTTGTCTAAGTCGAGAAAATCATGGCTAAAGTTTATGTAAATGAAATGATTTTAGTGGTTTCTTTTGTCTATTCCTCATGAATTATTAATGATTCAACTTTATTTATACATTATACTGAATAGCTCTTCCAGTTCTAAAGTGTTCTCCCTAGAGGTCCAGTAAGGGTCGGTCACCTCTTATTGATCCAGTGTTCAGGGACGTAGCGAAGGTGTGCTGGTTGGGGGGGTGCAATACAGTAATTTACCTGATTTTACACTATTGTAAAAAATTACCTGAAAGATAAACCCCCTATCTTTGGGCACTGCAATGTTGTGGTGCATTTCTCCCCTGCACAGTTAGGCCTATCACCTAGATATTTAACCCACGTCTATTTTTACAACATTTTTTATTGCTTTTTCAATCTAGTTTTTCTCCGATTAGAATATGTTTGGTTATTTTTGTTCTTCTATATAAATTAAAGAGTATATAAGCCACACGAGAAGAACACGAGCATATACACACCGAGTACTCCGAATTCCG